AAATCTTTTATTAAAGATTTTATTTATTTATTTGAGAGAGGGAGAGAGTGCCCATGATCTATGGGGAGGGGCGGAGGGAGAGGGAGAAGCAGACTCCCCACTGAGCGGCGAGCCCCCATTGCGGGGCTAGATCCCAGGACCCTGGGATCATGACCTGAGCCAAAGGCAGACACTTAACCTACTGAGCCACCCAGGTGCCCCCCTATAAACTTCTTATTGAATTGACATCTATTATGAAAAATTGGTGATAACTACAGGTGGTTTTATGATAACCAATATTCCAACAGTATTATGTAGGTGCTAAAGATCATTATGAGGGTGCTATAAGAACATAGAGAAATATGTAATGAAATTTAAAGAATGCTGTGTAAAAATGGAATATCCACAATTATAATAATAATTATGTAATAGAATAGATACACGTAGGAAATATACAATGAAAATGGCTGCAAGTTTATCAGGAGAGTAAGGAAAATAGGATTATGGCACCTGAATACTGTTATTTTAATTTTTTTGGTCTTTATAAAAACTTCAAAATATCAGATGGCTTGGGGGGTTCAATTGACGGCTATCTCTAATTGAATCCATAGCCTTATGTGTGTATTGACAATATTTGGCTAGAGCCCAGTATACTGTAGTTATTTATCAGATTTCCTCTGGTCACTAGCTTGGATGATATTTTAGATAATAGTGGCTGACATTACTATATTCTTCTTCTTTTCAGTGATGAAAATGCCAGGAAAGATTTAAAGACCCTACCAGCCTTTCCAACCAAAACTCTTCAGGAGCATCCATCCCTTGCTTACTGGTAAGCCAAAGCAAGACAACGGGTGACCTTGATATCATAGCCTCCATTGAGAACTGCATGCTTTTCAAGAAATTAAATGAAATATAAGTGAAGAAAGTATCAAATAGCCCATCACATGCATCAGAATGACTATAAGTAGACCTTGATCCTTTCCATGAAAGGGTCTTGCCAAAGCTTACTGGAGATCATCGTACCAAGATTGTAGTCATTTATGAAGTGTGGCTGTGTGCCTTCTCATTCACATGTGTTAAAGGTCTGTAGAGAGTGCTTTTAAGTAAACATGTGCAGTCGCTGTGTAATGTGGCCTTAATCTAGCAGAGTGTAATATACATGTTACAAAATACAGATTTCCTTGGATGGAGGTTTTCTTAATGGCCAGAAATGACCTGACTGATCAGAGATGTCTTCTGTGGCCAAAAATTGTTGTATATTTCAAGTCGTTCTATTTGTTTATATTACAATGAATCCATAGTACCCATTTTCCTTACAGCATTTTTCCTAGAAAAGTACTTATTTCCCCCTTTGAATTAGTTACATCCCCTTTAAATACAGTTTCCTTGATTTATGGCTCTGAATCCTGAAGATAGTTTTCCTTTCCACTGAAAAACTGATTACAAAATAAATATTCAACATGAATAGCTTTAATAGGAAAGATGAAATGCAGTTCCCACAGAAAGAGCAAAAGTGAGTCCTGAGACTACATTGCTTCCTGAGTCTGGAATCTTCCAAACAAATCATTGTTAAGTGATAGTTTCTTAAGAAAAAAAAAAAACAAAGACCGTTTACCACTGATTACTGGTTGTGTAGACATAAAAACATTTACCCTTCTAGGTTATACTTGAGATATGATGGGTCTCTGTAAGTAGGGTACACTAGCTGACATTAAAGGTGACAGACTTTAGCCTAGTTCTTGCCTTTCTAGTCAACAAGGTTGGCTTTTTTTTTAACTATTTTTTTTTTTTTTTACTAAGTAATCTCTACCCCCAGTGTGGGGCTTGAACTCATCACCTCAAGATCAAGAGTCACATGTTCTACTGACTGAGCCAGCCAGGTGCCCCTCTAGTCAACAAGTTTTATATTGGGACAATAACGAAGGGTTTTCTCTGAAAGCAGTGTGCCCCAGGTAGCGAGTGACGAGAGTATTTTGGATACTCAGACTCAGAACAGTTTTAATCCTTTCTAAATCTTTGTGGATAATTTAAGGAAAATGCCTTTAATAACTAACACATGCTGATCTCTTTTTTTTAAACCTTTTAATTTCCCTAGCAAGGCTCACTAATTAGTATTTAATAATATTATTTTGTATTTTATATCCCATTCAATTATGGCAAAAAATACCAGTTTTTCATATGATAAATTGATATTATCTTTCCTTTTCCAATAAATTAAGTTTTTAAAAGTATTGATATATTTATTTATATATCATATAAAATATAAATTAAAAATCATGATAGGTAGCCAAATGTCTGACGTTCAGGAATCCATGTCCTATAGAAACTCAAGTCAGCCAGCTTCTATCTCCCAAACAAGTTGGTTAAGGTCTTTATTCTCAAGTTTCTCAACAAGCCAGCTGAGGTTTTTTTTTTTTTTTTAAAGATTTTATTTATTTATTTGAGAGAGAGAGAATGAGAGAGAACACGTGGGGGGGGAGGGTCAGAGGGAGAAGCAGACTCCCTGCCGAGCAGGGAGCCCGATGTGGGACTCGATCCAGGGACTCCAGGATCATGACCTGAGCCGAAGGCAGTCACTTAACCAACTGAGCCACCCAGGCGCCCCAGCCAGCTGAGAATCTTGAAATTGAGTCTGTACCTCATATAATCGTACATGCTGTATTTCTCATTTCCTTGTTTTACAGTGAGGACAGGGTAATTGAGCATTATTTGAAAATCAAAGGTCTGACTCGGGGTCAAGCTGTGGTTCAGTAAGTATCTGTCTTTCCTTTTGCTTAGATAGAATTTTAATGTCTTCTGTTTGAAGAAATCATCTGAAAATGATTTCTATTGTGTGGTTTGTGTGTATATTGTCTCCATCTGGTTAAAAAAGCCTTACTATGAATTATAAAATGCCTTGAATCATTCCATAGTTGGTGTTATTAATTCAGATATCTTCCAGTGTCAGGCAGGTAGCAAAACAGAAATGTAGGCCAGGTGTAGGACAATAGGGAATGGTGGGGACTGAGGTAAACTGGAGAGCTGTTGTCCTGAGTCGAGGCAAGGTGATTCAGTCTCAGAAATCAGGCCTAAAGCTATCAGACCTGATATTTCTATGAAAAGCTGGAAATTCTGATTTTTAAAATCCAATTTTAAACATTGCAAAGTAATTTTAAGAAAATTTTATTACAATGCAAGCCAAGCAAAACCTATCTGGAGGCCATGTTTGGTTGTCTGGTTTGCGACTCTACTTTGGGTAGAGCATACAGTGTTGGTGTTGGATAATCTATATCTGCATGCTACCAAGAACAGACCATAGTGACATATCTCTGCATTTTAGACTTACAGAGTTACCGCCCATTTATGTATTTTTTTTAAGATTTATTAAAATCAGCGGGGAGCCCTGACACAGGGCCCGATCCCAGGACCGTGAGATCATGACCTGAACCAAAACCAAGAGTCTGAGACTTAAGCGACTGAGCCACCCAGGCACCCCACCATCCATTTATTAACAATAGTTCACAAGCTACGTTGAAGTTTTAAAATTATAAGAACTAAATTTATAATTTTATAATTTTAAAATTATAAAAATGAATATAGCATTATTGCTGTAGTAATTGTAGAATAACTTTTATGGCCATCGAAGTTCTTTTAAAAACCCACTGAATATAGCTCAGAGCATGTGAGAACTGAAGTCAGGACTTAGAGACCGCATTTCCCCTGGTCAGTGTATAGATCTCCCTTACAACCTCTACCTCTTGCACTAATCGCCTTTTTATCACGGCACACCTTCTGTGGCCTTCAAGGCAGAAATCAAAAAGGAGCAGTCCTGAAGTTGAATCCTTGACATTTTAACTCATGGTGCCTGTTTTCTGGGGGGGCGGGGGGGGGAAGAAGAGTAACAATTTCCCTGAAGGATTTTAGGTTAGGCTAATGAGCATGTTATGAAGTGTCCTTGTTTAAATGCAGAGTCCTTTTACTTCCCTTAATCATTAAGGGAATGGAGTTGTGGCTCCAAGTAAGAGACTAGCTTGGTGGTTAAGGCTCTAGACTGTGGAATCCATCTCACTTTGTTAGAATCTTGGGTGTGCAGTGTATTTGCTGCATGTTGCTGGCCCATTTACCTAACCTCTTATATTCATCTACATACAGGCCATTTACTTTGTAAAAAAGCATCCCAAATTATTGATTACAAAACCCAGAGCAATTGATATTCAAAATGTCATTAAAAAGCCCACTTGTACTAAACAGGAACCTCAATTCTTTGTGAGCAGAGAGGAAGTCTTACACAATTTATTCCACTCCATAAAGCCTTAGAAGTACACAATCAATACTTGTTGATTAGAAATAGTAAATGGAGTAAATGGAAAAATCATTGTTTTAATTTTTATTTGGGGGGTATATTTTTTAAAATCAGTTTGATATACAATAAAATTCATCCTTTTTAGGTACATATTTCTTAGAGTTTAGACCTAAGAGTTAAGGTATATATTTCTAAGAGTTTACCACAATCAGTAAGTGGAATCACTTTATTTTTTTTTGACAATTTATTTTTTTGACTATATGTATGTACGTATGTATGTAATTTCTAGGCCCAACATGGCATTCCCAACTCACAATCCCAAGATCAAGAGCCATATGGTCTGCTGACTGAGCCAGCTAGTGCCCTACGATTGCTTTACTTTTTACTTCTTATGAGCATGACCCAAAAGTTGTTCTCATTGCTTTGCATTAAGTGCTTAGTTTAGTGCTTAGTTTTAAAAATACTTGCAATTTGGGTTTATGATACGGTCTAATATGTTTCTAAGACATAGAAATCTTAATATGCAGAAAATAACATTTCTTATAGCTTTTGGAAATTGAAGTTTTGTTAGCAACTTCCTAACATTTGGGTAAGGTAAAATATATTACTCCCTAGAATGGCTTATTCTATTTCTGCTTTAGTCAGAGGCATTATCCATGGTTGTAATGAGGAAAGTAGACACAAATTGTGTTTCTTTTCTTTTTTTTAAGATTTATTTATTTATTTGAGAGAGAGTGAGCGAGCAGGGGGAAGGGCAAAGAGAGATGGAGAGAGAACCTCAAGCAGACTCTCCGCTGAGTGCAGAGCCCTACGCAGGCTGGATCTCAGGATTCTGAGATCATGACTTGAGCCAAAATCAAGAATCGGACACTTAAGTGACTGAGCCACCCAGGCGCCCCACAAATCATATTTCTGTACATCACTTTTCCCAAAATGATCCTCTAATTTAGTAAGAGATTATAATATATATTCATTTTTCATAGGTATATGAAAATAGTAGAAGCTTTACCCACGTACGGAGTCCATTATTATGCAGTAAAGGTAAATACTTTTGCATAACAAAGCTTTCATAATGCCCATGTTAGTTTGTGAGTTAGTGAACAGTACCAGCGTCTAAAATCACATAAATTAATATGCATATGTATGCAAATTATCTCTATAAATTTCAACATTTAAAATATGATTGATTTTCTTAAAAAAAAAGCCTGATTATATCTTGTCATTTGTAGCAAATTATAACGCTCATTATTTTGTAAAATACTTGCTCCATTGAAATGTTTTCCCAAAACCTCTATTAATCCTAACATACTCAAATTATTCTCTTTTAGCACATCCATTCCTTTTACCTATTTTTGCTGCTATTTCTCTTCTCCAGTTGTTCACCTGCCTAATAGTGCCGGATACTTACTTGATAGAGCCTTTATATGAGAATCAGAAACTTGCCATTGTCATTTCAGCAGATTCATAAAGTTCTCAAAATTTTGCAGGATTTGCGATAGCAATTTTCAATTGGTATGTTTCATATTTGTGTAGTATTTTCAGGTGTTTTCAAGCAGGGAGAGATTGATTAAGAATGAAGGGGGGGAAATCAGAGGGAGAGATGAACCATGAGAGACTATGGACTCTGAAAAACAAACCGAGGGTTCTAGAGTGGAGGGGGGTGGGAAGATGTGTTAGCCTGGTGATGGGTATTAAAGAGGGCACGTTCTGCATGGAGCACTGGGTGTTATACGCAAACAGTGAATCATGGAACACTACATCAAAAACTAATGTTGTAATGTATGGTGATTAACATAACATAATAAAAAAAAAAGTACTATTTTGAGATGTAAGGGATAAAGGACCATTAAGAAGGGGGTCTTGTTTGAAAGGAATTTTATCATAGATCAATCTTGAGTGACTTTTCAAGTTACAACAGTATTTGCAATTCAAAATGGGGGATTAAATAATAAATACTTGCATAATGAGGATACCTTGTACTAAAAATATGTAGCAATTCAACTTCGGTTTCTCCTGATTCTTAATTTTTTTGCATATGGGTATATGTTTAAGTCTAAATTTTTCTTTCCCTATGTCAATACATCCTTCACTTTGGCAAGACCTAAAAGATAAATTTATGAAAAAAAAATTCCTCTCCTCCCCATATGTACCTCAAAGTGATGATTCAAACATCCTGCCATTGAATCATACAGTTCTCCAAAAGAGCTTTTCAGTATTCCCACATTCATTGTTAAGTGGCTTATAAACATCAGGTTTGGAGCCACCTTTCTCATCTTTGTAATTCTTTGGAAACTTCCCTGACCATTATAGCTGGTTACTGATTAAGAGAACAGCAGAGAGCTTTTTTTCTTTTTCTTTTTAGTTTCTTTTCTTTTCTTTCTTTCTTTTTTTTTAAATGGATAACTGGCTTTCCACTTGGGATTAATTTTACATTTTCTTTCTTTTCTCCAACAGTCAAGACAGTAATGGTTCATTCTTTTTGATGGCATTAATAGTATTGATCTAACTTACAGATCTTTTTTGAAGGCATTTTAATAGCAAGTTAGGTTTTTAAGTAATGTTTTGTTTACCAAGACAGCTTTATTGTGACTTGCTGATATTTGTTAAAAGATGAAATTGGTAAATCTTCACCTCTAGAAGACTGAACAATTAGGGCTTGGTTCTCATGCTTTTCCATCTTCCAGGATAAACAAGGACTTCCTTGGTGGCTTGGAATCAGCTATAAAGGAATCGGCCAGTATGATTTGCAAGATAAAGTGAAACCTCGGAAAGTAAGTGTGAATCATTTCAGACACATAGGAGAACTTAAGCTATTCTGGATTTGGCAACATTGCTTTAATGGGCACCAGAATAGTCTCGGACAAGTAACTTTCGTTAGTGAAGCTATGGGTTCAGAGAAGGCTCAGGTTAAGTGAAAAATGCTTTTTATAACTAATTTATGTACCTTTCATCCAGCAATTCCACATCTGATCATTTATTCTAAGGGAATCCAGTTATGCACAAAGACTTAACTGTAAGGATGTTGATCCCAACTTCATTTATAAATGCATACAATTAGATTTCTATTTTAAGGTCATATGAAGAGAAGGATGACATTTGTTTTCCAAGTTTTGTATATATCTATCTGTTGTATAGGCATAAAATATTTATTTATATACATAATTATATATAATGTTAATATATTTTTTATATAAATTATATACACACACACACATATATATACATACATACATATACATACGTATGCTTACTGACATTGGATGGATACACAGGTGGATGAATTGTGAAGACGTAAGCCTGAGTATTTGGTGCTGGCTCCCTCTCAGTAATCCAGTCCAATCCAGTAATCCAAAAAACTGATCTTTTGACTACTGCTGCTATTTTCACTTATCTTTGGTTCACAGTTTTCCACACGAAACATGTCTGCTTTTTTCAAAAGAAAAATAAGTCCTGTGCTGTTTATTAAAGGTCACACTCTCTCAGGTTTGGGTGTTCCAGACCTAATAAATGACGTTATTTTCCATTTGAACTGTGGCCATGACACTTCTTCTCTTGATCCAAGCACAGGCGTATAATCCGTTTCTGCCCATATGAGAATGGATGAGTCCGCGTAGACAGCCACCCACCTGCCCTGGCCTAACTGTGTATTATAATGACACGAAGGCTTACTCATGCCGCCCCTGGTTGGTTTCGCCACCCTCCCTGTGCTCTGCTGCCATCAGTGGGCGACACGGCAGTGAAACAGTGACCTATAATAGCAGACCATGTGCTATCACACCCTGACATTGAAGCCTTGAATTACTCCTATCATTTCCATCTGTCTTGTGCTTTAATGTCTGTTAGAAAAACAGCCATATTCATCATAAACCGGCCTTTGTCATCATACCACAGTGTTCTTCATCTTCTTTGTGGTTTTTCAGCTTTTATCAATGCTCACAATCTTTCGTTGAGTTAAAATAATTAAGCTCCTCTTTTCTCCCCATTTTATGACTGTGAGGCTGACACAGACAACACAAAGGGGTGGCCCAGGGCTCACCCCCTTCTAATGCCAGTCCTGCCCTCCCGGAGCAGGGTAGCTGGGCATTGAGGCTTCTTATTGGAAAATATTGATAAAAATAAAATATCATTTCGTAACCTATATCCATCTGTGTGAGGGACAGGAAGACAGCATGTTTGTAATCCTATAACAGAATGGTGTCTCTATAAGCCCTGTGACTAAGATCAATTGAAGTAAGGTATACTTACTTATTTCCAGGAAGAGTATGAATAATGTTGTTCATACTTGAAAATTGGCCTCTAAGACCAAATTTCAAATAAATAATGTTAGAAATGATGGGCATGTGATTTTTTTCAAAATCATCTTCAAAATCATTTTTATTTATAGTTTTTTTTTTAAAGATTTTATTTATTCATTTGAGACACAGAGATACAGAGAGAGAGAGAGCATGAGCAGGGAGAGAGGCAGAAGGAGAAGGAGAAGCAGGCTCCCTGCTGAGCCAGGAGCCCGATGTGGGGCTCGATCCCAGGACCCTGGGATCATGACCTGAGCCGAAGGCAGATGCTTAACCATCTGAGCCACACAGGCGCCCCTATTTATAGTTATTTTTTTAACCAAAAGTTATACATAGCCATTGTAAAAACAACAACAACAACAAAAGTACAAACTACAGAAACATGTCAGTTAGGGCGGGAAGTCCTTCTGCAATTCCCATCCCTTCCCCATGATAACCACAGTCAAGAGAATGATAACTGGTTCATTGAGACTTTGTCAGTGTATATCCTGAGCTTTCCAGAGAGAGAAATCTTTTTTTTTTTTTTTAAAGATTTTATTTATTTATTTGAGAGAGAGAATGAGATAGAGAGAGAGCATGAGAGGGGGGAGGGTCAGAGGGAGAAGCAGACTCCCCGCCGAGCAGGGAGCCCGATGCGGGACTCAATCCTGGGACTCCAGGATCATGACCTGAGCCGAAGGCAGTCGCTTAACCAACTGAGCCACCCAGGCGCCCGAGAGAAATCTTTCTATGCACACGATTTCATCCCATGTCCTATTTCTCCAGGTTACTTTATAAACACATCTCTCTTCACTCGGTCTAAAGCTGCCCAGTATCCAGTATGTGGAAATACATACAAATACTGATTCGCTTTTGATGGACATTATGGTTGTTAACTGTGGGGTCCGTGGCGGGGAGAAGGAGCATAATGAATCCCAGTCAAGGCATATAACTAATCCCTAGTTTATCTATTTTATAATACCAAATCCTTGCTTATCGTGTTTTCTTGAGGTAGACCTCAACCTATATTAACATTTTTTGGTAATTTATTTCTCTGCTGAATTTTACTTTAAGAAATAACATTCAGGAGTCTCACTGGTTTCGCTGAATCTTGCATGTCATATATAACTTAAATCAACTCACAAGTCATCTCTTAGCGAATGTGGCTTCATGAAATTGAGAATCCTGCAGAATATAAATGCATCTACTAAAAACAACCAGACTTTCTCCCAAAATAATGGTGAATCAGAATCTGCACAGTAAATATTGCAGCGAATTTCCTCTCAGTTGCTTATGACTCATAGCCCCTTCTTTACATTCACAGTTTCATAGGAATTGGTCAATATTGTTTGACACTGATCACCATCAGGCTTGCTTGTTCAACCCAGAGTTGAGACAAGGATCAGAAGACACTTCCTTTTTTCGATTGGCAGAGTTTTCGCTTTCATTTTCAAGATGTGCCATTCAATTCAAAAAGGACCTAACGGGGCCATCTTGTTTACCACTGCCTCGTCTTCTCTATGTTGGTTACTTTTGCAGCCGTCCATTGTACCACTGTTTGCATCCTCCTTCTTCTGTTAAAACCCGACAATGGATTTTGCTTCCATCTGTTTATTTTTCCATGGCCAAACAACCTATGGGTTTAATTGGAGGGAGGATGTTCTACAAGTCACTGCCCTGGCCCAGTTGGTCCAAATGAAAGGGCCATAATTTAAAAGGCCGTGAGCACTGACTTGTAAAAAGGAGGATCATGCTTCAGCTGTTTGCATGACCTGGGCACACAGCAAGTTACCAGTGGCCGAGCAGGAATGAAGGTCAAGATTGGCAAACCCTGAAACAAAGGCTGGAATGGGAGGCCTTGGAGATGCTCAGCCTCTTGAGCTGCTTGTTACACATGCCTGCTGAGTTATAAAATTACGTAGCTTGAAAACAGGCCAGAAGGGGGAAGATTTGCCAATAATAAGAGAGACTGACTAATGCCAAAGCCTATTTTGAAAAAAATGTTTGTCCGAGACCCATAAGCTGAAGCTTTCTGTCCTTTCCATATAATGTCTATTAGTTGTAGCCTAGGAACGTTGGGGACTGTGTTTCTCGTACCTGCTAGAACACCCAGCAAGTATTCTTCATGTATTTTGGCTCTAAGGCTTTTGCCAGTCATGGGGGAAAGTTTTCCGTCTGTGTAGCATAATGATGCAGAGCAAGAATTTGGGAAGCAACCCATGGCCTGTCTTTGGTGTCTGGTGTCTGTTTGCTCTGTGACCTTGGGCATGTTTTTTTAATCTCTCTCTAAACTCAGTGTCTTCATCTGCACCACGGTAATACAACTGACAACATAGGGTGTTTGTAAGCATTACATGAGATTATATTCAGCATACACAGTCATCACTACGCAACTGGTTGTTGTTCGTTGGTAGTGACAGAGAAAGACAATTTAAAAAGATATGAGAAATAGGCTTGGTTAGAGAAGGACCCAACATTGCTACAGACTCGTAGCCCTAGCGTTCTAAGAGTCCACACTCAGATTTTCTGTTTTCAGAGACTCTTAAGCACTCTGTGCCAATTTATTAACTGTAATGCCCTGAGGCATGATGCAAATTAAGAGAATTTTAAAATTCTGAGTAACAAACCACAAAAATTCAGGGTCTTAAAAATTCAGATCACAAGCAGTTTTTTTTTCTTTTTAATTCTCCCTTTATGCATGAAATATGTCATTGCAAACTCTTATGGAATGCGAAAACATACCAGAACTGAACTTAATTTCAAATCGTAGGACATTTGAACTTAAAAACAGTGAAGTTTTACATTTAAAACAAAAATGCAAGCTTGTGTTCCCTAGGTTTTTATTGCTCGTTCAGTATTTCAAGGAAAAATGTCATTTCTTCACAAAGAGGTAGAGTGGGCCAGTGGCTAAGTGAAGTATTGATAGATGTCATGACTGATTTGTAGTCCTCCAGCAAGTTATTTGACCTGGGAAAACCAGACCCTGTCAGAGATGGGAGAAATAAAAAAGTCATGCCAGCCAGGCTGTCACCAGCAGAGCTTGGTGGGATAAAATGCCTTTCAAGATTAGTATCTTTGTGCATTATAACTGCTAACCAAGTCCTGTGATGTGCATCATCACCCCGGGGCATTTCAGGGTGGGGAAAGAGTTCTTAGCCTTCTGTTAACTGATTTTTTTTTAAACTATTGGAATTCCCAAATGCCTAGAGCCAGATGAATTAAGTCACAACACAGGAGTCTTCCTGTTTCCTTGTCATGAAAGTACAGGGTTCATTTCATTTAAACTCGGGGACTTGCTTACTTTTCTAATAAGCACAGCCATCTTGACATTTCTCGCCACTCCTGGTTTTTCCACCACCTGCTGCCGCCTCACCAGGGAGCTCGATGGGGCTGCTCCTTCTAACACTGCTTAAGTTCTGGATGAGCTTAGCTGCAGGAGAAGAAGGAACATGTGCTGTCCCGTCACACCTTCTACGTCAGTACATAATAATGTATGGTGTGGAAGGAAAGAATGGAATTAGAGAATGTCAACTGGAGACCAGTCCATCCTGTTTGTAAAGTGTCTAATTAAGCTCCAGCCACACCAATAATCAATCTAATCATTAAAGCCTTCTGCAGAGTCACTGGGAGGAGAG